GTATTTGAGAGAGACCGGCGTCACACGAGGGGCAGGAGTGGCTTCCAGGCACAGGAGCAGCAGAGGTCTTTGGAGCAGCCAACCTTGGGTGGGTTATTTAATCTCTCTGAGCTTCAGTTCTTTAAAAAATGGGAATTAAAGTGGTAAAGTAACACTCACTGAGTATTTGCTGTGTGTCAGGCACACAGCAAATGCCTTACACAATACTGGCTATTTTGTCCTCATAATGGCGCTCAGAAGTACCACCATTGTCCCCATTTTACAGAGGTGGAGACTGAGGTACAGAGAGGATGAGGACTTGCCAAGGTCACTAGCTGGTAAGTGGCAAAACCTGGACTTGCACCCCAGCTGAGTGGCTTCCAGAGCCCCCGCCCTCACCCCCTCCATCAGGATGCCCCTTCCGGCCTCTCTGCAGTGTTACCGTGAACTGCATGTGTGGTGTGGTTCAGGACACACTGTAGTTTCCCAAGGGGCTCGGGTCCTCTCCAGTCTTGTTTTACCTGTGCCCTCCACCTTCTCATGCCTGTGGGTGGCTGGAGCCAGAGTCTGAGCTCATTGGCTTGTCAGTCACCCAGCGCCATTCTGGACACATTAATAGGCAACCGCCTGGAATGTGACTTGGTTAGTGCCAGTCCTCGGAGAGTTGATGACCATTTTAACACCCACCTGCCGGCTGTCACTCACTCCACACTCAATGCGACCTCCCCTGGCTTCTTGAAAACCTCTACCAGGGCTGTGCCTCCTGATCCATTTGGAATGGGTATTTGGGCTCCATGGAGTCCCGGTTGCTCCTTATAGAAACCGGCACCACAGGGGGAGGAGAGGAGGGAGTGAGCGTTGCTTCAGTTTTTCAGGTTATAATGATCCCAGTAATTGAGACACCGAATTGCAGATTTAAATCGCTTGAAAGTAAAAATATCGTTTTGTAATGCCGGTGTTAATAATGTAAACATTAAACACGAATTAAATACTTAGCTGTATTGTGGGGCATGATCGCCTGATTTTTCTTCCTTCAACTTATTCAACCAGAGAAAATGATTGGCTGCAATATGCAGATATGTTACCACCAAAAGTGGGTCTGGATTTGCCTGGGAGAAGTTAGTCACTTAATGCCCCTGCATAGAGGTGAGCCCGGGGAGGGTCGGGCTGGCAGTAGATTGCGGCCCTTTTTCGGAAGTGAGCTGTTTACCAAGATCGGCGGGTGTTTGAGATGTGCTGGGGTAGGCCTCGGTGGGGTCCTAAATCACAGCCCAGCATACCTAGAGCCCCTCCGCTCTGTGGAGACGTCTGTCCTCTGCCCTGGGCCCTGCCTCCCTCCCTTCACTCTGCTCTAGTGGATGTCACCTCAGAGAGGTCCTCCCTGGCCCCCAGTTCAAGGAGTGGCCCTGCCACTCTTGGCCCCCGCAAAACACTAGTCACTCTTCGACAGCAGGCCCTGGCGGTACAGTCATCTCTCAGTGAACGATCTGAAGAGAACAGACGGCATTAGAGTACAGACCCGGGTCCCCTGGCCTGCCAGGCCCCACCTGACGCCCCTGTAAGATTCTTCTCTTGAGAGGTCTGAAGGAGAAGGGTGAAGGGCAAATCAGGAGCAGATCGATTTCTGGATTCGGATTAGCCCTCAAACTTCCTGTCCCTTTCCAGGGCAGCCTAGGAACAGAAGAGGGAAGTTCTGAGCGATGCCTAATGAAAAGGACCCAACCTGGCCACAAGTCAGCCCGGCCTGGCTGGTGCTCAACTTGGTATTGTCCCAGAGCTGCTTCCCCCTTCCTGCCTCCCTCCCCTCCAGTTCTTGGCACCCACACCTTCCTTTCAGTTCCTTCCCTCATCTTCTGTTTTCTGTTTTTGGCCACAGTGGCTGCAGATTTAAATCAAAAGTCAGAAGTTTAGATCATTTTGAAGAGCTGCTGATGAGTGGCCTTGCCTGGCCATTTGTTTTATTAGACCGCTTCCTGCGGTTTCCAGCATGGGCTACAAGGCTCCAGGCAGCTGGGAAGAGCGATGGGACTGCCAGGGTGCTGTCCAGAGGCCCAGGGCTTCCTGATGACATTGCGTCATGGAAAAGCTGTAATAACACTCTGTCGCTTCTTCTTCAATCACACCACGACGACAGAGGGAGGAGGCAGGGCTGGGTGACTGGCTCCCAGGCTGCCCTTGTTCCCCCTTGGTGGGGAGGTCAGGAGAAGGTTATTCCTCTGCATCACCTGTCTCGAGGACCCAGTGAGAGCTCCTGGGGGCAGATGAGGCAGCTGAGGTAGGGAGACGTGAACCAGGTCCACCAGCGCTCTGGGCTCACCCTCACTGTATGAGGACATGGCCAGGGGAAGGATCTGCTCAGGGCCCGCAGCTCTGGCACTGCCAGGCCCCTGTTGCCCCCTGTTCCCCCTTATGTGCTCTTTGTGTCTTTCTTTCTCCCTCCTTAAATCAGGTATCAATTTGACACGAGGATCCTGGAGGTTATAATAGAGACTGACCGGGGTCTCGTCAAACCCGTTTTCAGGCACACAAACTACATCTCAGCCTGCTGGCATCTGGGCAGGGCCCATGCATGGCTGGTTCTTGCCTACGGAATGTGTGCGTGCCTTCTCTGTGCTGTCTCACTCTTAGTCCTTGAGGCTGATTGAAGGTGGTGGTGTCACAAGATGAAAGGTCCCTGGATGACTGTGTGGAGCGGAGGCTCTCTGCTGACCAAACCTGATTGTACTACGAAGCTCCTGTTATTGGGGAGCGTTTGTTATAACGGTTAACCCACCCTGACTAATCCCTGTATGTTTCTCAGTTCAAGGGAGAAGAGCGCTCCCCAGCGCCGGGAAAGGGAAGCCAGCCAGGAGGCCCTTCTGGGCTTCCTGCCAAGAGGGAGCAATAGAGGTGGAAGGTTGGGAGGTCCTTCTCAGTCCTCAAGTGCTGGGCTTTCTCCAGGTCTGTCTTTATCTCTCTTGGTACCTCTTCACATCAGCCCCTATGGCCCACACCCTCCGCTGCTGTTCCCTGAGCAAAACCCTCGATTCCTATTCCCACGCTCACCGATAATACCTGCCTTCTTAATCACCTCTCAGACTTGCCTCCCTTTCAAGGCACGGCTCAAACACCTCCATGATCACCCCACATGGCAGTGAGCCCTAACTGCCTCTCCTCTCCTGGGTAGCACTCTGTATGGCTGAGCAAACGGCTCCCATGCCTTGTCGAAGCCGCCATGGTATTTTCATATGAGAGGCTTCACTTTCTTATGAAGTCATAAGGTTCTTAAGGATAACGACATGATCCTCACACTTCCTTGTTTTCTACATCGGCCCTGGCACTGTGCTGTATGTACCAGGCACTCAGAAAGTATTTGTTGGATGGATGAATGGAAGGAAGGAAGGACAGATTAATGAAATCACAAACGAATGAGCTACTCAGCCAGATTTTCAAGTGTCTCTACCATCTGGGCTCACTCCACTTCTCTACTCTTCATTGTACTACTCCCAACCACAAAATCCCCATTCTGGATGGTTTGGCAGACTCGTGAGCATGCTGGACTTTTCCTTGCCTCCACTCAGCCAACTCCTTCCCTGTTCTTGTCACCCTTGAGCGCCCAGATGAAGTCTCACCTCCTCCGACAGTTTCTATGATGTGTGTTGTCTGTCAGCCGACCTCTTCAACTCTTAGGATTGATCATCTGCACCACACAGATGAATCCTCTGTATCATTGGGTACTGTCTTATGCAGTTTGTCATCAGTTCATGTGTCTTATTCTTGCCCCCTCAACTAGAATCTATGCTCCCAAGAGCTGGATCTTCCCCAGTGCTTAGCAAAAAAGATGGACAGCTTCTCAGGTCGGTGTACCCTTGCTGGTTACTAGATATTCAGGGCTCCCTCACCCCTCTTGCCATTTTAAAGTAAACTCCCATTGGAGATCAAATACATACATGGCCGCCATCTTCTCTACTTTCCGTGCCTCTCTGTTCTTCTCCTTCTGTCCGGGTTTACGGTGCTTGGGTTGACTCATTCAGCTGGGTCAGCAAAGCCTCATATACATTTCAGACAGCAGCGACCCCCGTGAGCCCCGTGGTCTAGGATGCACAGTCTAAAACCACTAGCCAACTTTGCCCCTTGCGACAAACTGCGCTTTTGTTGGTGACATCTTCAGGGGCAGGTGGGGATTTGGGCTGGGGCTTGAGTGATTGGTGGAGGAGGAAGAAGTCCTCATATGAAGGGTACTGTCAGATAAAGGAGTGACTAAAGGGAAGAAGGGTCACGTGGGCAGGAGCGAGCACAGCGATGGCAGCACAGTTAGTGACATGCGTGGCCAGCCCTAAAAGACTTGTATTCTAGCTGATCATCCCCCTCATCCTCAGGCAGGTCCCACAGGACCCAGGGCTGAGAACAGGGGCAGGAATCAGAAGCGAAGGCAGGGAGCTTTGGACTTGGTGAACCAGATTTTCAAGCAAGGAAGTGGCCTAGAAAAAGCAGCATTTAGGGCTCCATTTTGTCACTAGCAAATATTTAGTTTTCGGCTGACTTCCTTTTGCCACCCAACATACTTGGACTCAGTTCTCCCACCATGGGTGCAAAGCATGCAAGTTAACACATCGTTACCTCAGCCAAACCTAATTAGGGAAGTTAACTTGCTTTGAAATCTATCTAATGTATCCTAAAATTAAACAATGTTTTTGTTTTTTTATCCAGGCCACTCTTTCCTTCTCTAAATGTGGATTTTGGAAAGTTGATGGTAATTAGCCATGAGAATACAGAAATTATTTAACTCTGCATTGTCTAAAGTTCAGATAAAAGGACCACCTACTTCCCAGGCCTGCTACCTGCCTTGTAGATGCATGGAAATATTGTATTAGCCACCATTTCCCACCCACGGATCCCCAAAGGATTGCAGGAAATCGGTGAACTGTTCTTGCTGTATACTCTAGTCAGCCATAAATTGGAACTTTCGTGCACTGTGATGATCAGAATAAACAAACAGAAAGGGTAATAAGGCGCACCAAATAATCACTGGTGACCTCAGCAATTTTATTAACAAATTTATTTCCCTAATTGGGTAACGTATCTTAGTGCTCGACTCAAGGGCATTGTAATAGGTTTCCACACTGCAGAAGAAGGAATTAATTAGAACTGTTTGCTCTTTGTTCCGTATTTACACTTGTCCACCAGTCTTGTAAACATTGCGCCTGGTTTCTTTGGCCTTCCAGGCTTCTCTCTTCTGACTCCCCCACCCCACCCCCAAAATAAATAAATAGAAAGCGGGGAGTGTAATGTAACATCAGTGGCTCATTCTTTTGTGCAATCCACCCCCACCTGGAAGCTGCATTTCATGGTTGGAGCCATTTTGTGGCAGAGTCATCACTTCCAAAAGGTACCCGGAAGTCTAGAAAGAGACCCTCATCTCCACGGGAAACAATGGAGAACGTGGGGTCTTGATTTGCCTGGGCTGTATCTGGATTGACCTTGTCCATTCAGACCCTGGGCAGGAAGGTGGTGAGATGGGCAGATCTGTCCCACTTCTTCCTGCCCCACAGAGAATGCCTCTTAAGAAGGTAAGAGACAGTCATTCATTATAATGTTGTATCTGCCCTTGGAGTGGGCAGCCCATGCGAGCAGACAAGCCATACATACACTCAGGAACTCCCTCTTCGACTCTTCTTCAAGTAGAGTTTTTTGCCTCACAGCTTGCCAAGACTTCGGCATGACAACAAAAAGCATTTTTAAATGCGAATTCTCCAGAATCTCACTGTAATGCTGGCTTCTCACTCAAGCTGCAGCCTTCCAGTATACTCTAAAATGGTGCCATTTCACACTGCGTGTCCAGCCTCTGACGACCAGCATTAGCATAAGATGCCAGAGTACATGGAATTATCTCCAGAGCTGGTTTCTTTAGCAGCCATTAATATGCCACATATGGCTTTCAAACATGGATATAATGATTACAAAGACCTCTAACAGTGTCTAGAGTACCCCGGCTGCCAATAGGTCCCTTTTGATATCTGCGCTCCAGAAAAATCTGGATAGGCGCAACAAGCCTCATTCTCCCTCTTGAATATCCTGCAGGATCTGGATGAGGTTTTCCAGGCCAAAAATATAGCCTGGATCTGGTCCATCATAAGTGGTATGCTCATTCCAGGAGCCTTTGTATGTTGTGTGAGCAAAGTCGATCATCCGGATGTCAACTTTGGAGAGGCTTCCAGAAGAGCTGCCGTGGTCCGGCTGCGGAGCCTCCGGAGGATGCAGGCCCTCTGAGGTCCTTTCTGGCAGCTCCTGCCCATCATAGATGATGAGGAGAGAGCTGGAGTAGAACCGGTACGAGCTCTGGTTTCGAATGACCGAGAGGAGGGCCCGAAGCTGGCGCTGGATGGGTTCCAGGAGCTCTGTCCGGAGGCGGGTTCCATCATGCAGGAACTGATGGAGGGCTTGTCTGAACCCCTCAACAGAGAGTTTTCTTCCATAATACTTGTCTCTGCAGAGAAAGTGCTTCTTATCAATTTGATAAACCTTCCAATAAAAAGAGAAAGAAAATGTGAAGAATTGCCAACTTAAAAAAAATATTGTCCCTGCTATGGTTGCAGTGTTACAAGCTAACGTGATATATAAACAGATTTCCGGGAGATGCAGGGCAAGAGTGGCTGAAATGAATGGAAGGATGATCTTTCATCAAGCACCAGTGGAACTTTCACATTTTAAAATGCTTTCTGTGCAGGCCTTTAATAGGAATCCAAGGTGTGAAGATCCTTCAGCCCACAGAGGTGACCCTCCACCCATGAGGAAAAGCTTTGGATTGCCTTTCTTGTGAATTTCCAATGTCATCCTCCAAATCATGATTTAAACCCTGGCTTCTGGCCCTCTTCAATTCAAATATTAGCAGACCCAAGCTAGTAAGCTTTAGCAGGAATCTGAAATCACAGCCAATGGCCTTGGAAAGCCAACTAGATTCAATTTTCCCCAATGAAGTTTATAAAGTCCTTTCTCTGCAGATTCTAAGGAAATAGTCAGAGCTCTTGGGGTAGAGCAGGGTGACTGAAGAGAAAAAGATAAAAAGATGGGCTCGATCAGGTATGGATCAGCCAGTGCAGCTGAGGGGAGTCTGGACTGGGTGGGTGGGGGGCAGTTCACAGCAGCTCTGTGGGGCTGGTGGGTCCTCCTTGGCACCAGCTCTTCTCCCCTCCCCTGTCATGTCTTGGCCACAGGAAGGGAGCAGATGGAGGAGATGCTGATGGGGGGACAGTGGCAACCGCTCCCATTTCATTCAGATGGCAGAGGCTGTACCGAGGCCAGTGGCTGGCATGGCCATGACTTGGCACACCTTTCCCTGGCTCACCTGGGAAGGGCAGCCCATACCTGGCCAAGACAGTTTCTCAGGTCTTTCCTGCCTTCAGATTATGTGATATGTTTCTACCAGTGTGGGAAAAAATCAGAAAGATATGATAGACTTGCTTTGGAGGGCTGGAGATCGGCTGCTAAATTAGCCGTCATAAATACATGACGGGTGTCACTGTCTAAATAAATCAGATCAATTTCAGAAGATTTGAGGTCCAGAGAGAGATTCCATTTACACCCCAAATCATCACACTGCATTCTCCTGAGGACTGCATTCCAAGCCTCCCAAGGGACATCTGTGCAACAAATTTATAGACTCAACTTCCAGCTTCAAGGGGTGGCAGTTTCAATTAAGGAAAGCTTGAACGTGTACCGTCAAATCGGTGTCTGGTTTTGCTTTGAGGAGATAGACTGTAAGAGTGAACGCGTGGGGAAAGTTTATTTCTTCCCGTTCCGCAGCCCCTCTGCCACAAGCCACATCAGAGCTGCAAAAAACAGGGTAGAGTCTGGGCAATAAAAAAATTAACCGTTCCTTTGCCTCCACTGAGCAGGTTACCACCTTCCCACTTCACTAACCAGAACAGGCAGCGAAAAGCAGAAAAGGTGGAGGAGGAAGAAGGAATGGCTAATAAGAATTCAAAGAGCAGAGTGCCTCAACAGCCCCTGAGAAGGAGAGGTTTGACTTTATCATTCAAGTAATTGAGGAAGCGGAGTGCGCCGAGTGAGTGGAGAGGCTCCTTTTCAGCTCTTTCCTCAGCCCCTGCTCACACGCTGCGGTCAAAGGTCTGCTCTCACTGTGGGCAGGACCCACGTGGCCGCCGGGAAGTTCAGCTGCCAGAGACCCTGAGACCGAGTTTAAAAAATGGTGGATTTTTGACACCACTATCCTGAAAGGGTCTCTTAAAAAAAAAAATCCCAGCGTGTCACAGACCGGGATACGCATTTCCGGGGCGGAAGGGCTGTGCCCGACTGCCTCCTGTGTTGCTTCCCAAGCGAAGGGCTCCGTGGGCTGTGGTGGCAGTTGGGAGACACCCTTGCCCCACAGTGGACGTGCCAGGACGCCCCGCCCTCCAGCGGGCCCTCTGCCACCTACCTGCATGCCGCAGATGCGGACGCCCAGGCAGGCTGATGTGCTCTGAGCACACTTCCTCATGTGACGGGCCTTCTTCTCCTCGGACACATCGTCCCCGTGCTGCCGGGTCCCCATCTTCAGGTCAAGGATACAGGGGTACTTGTACTGTGACACGACGTTTTCCAGCAACAGAAACCCTGGTCACGCCAAGTTCAGGAAGGCTCCGAGGACGTGAAGGCCCCCACCCTGAGTGCCAGTCCTTCTCTCCCTTCTCTCCTTACAGACAAGTCCGGCGTCCCTCTTAAGAATTCAAGGTATTAGTTTTGCAGGCTGCTTTAATAAGTCCATTTACTTAGGGGGAGTTTATGAGCCTGTGAGCTGCTTTTCCTTTTCCTTTTTGCTCTGAGGTTGAAATTTAAATGCGGGCGTGAAATCCCTGGCAGGCCATGCCCAATTTACATTTTATGGCAGAAAATCATAAGGCTAAAACCTCAAGTCACTGAATGGGCCAATACCTTTTGGGAGAAGTGGGTTGATGTTAGCTTTGGAGATGAGTTGCAGGAATATTAATTTCAGCGGAGTAATTATCCTGCAAAAGCTTCTTAGGGATTAGGGTTGCAGATGTGTCTTAGTAAACACTGTGAAACCAGTCACTCGTTTGCAGGAAGGAGCCCGGCGCTGACAAAGGGGCATTGCAAACCTAAATGTGCTCGCTGAGAACATGGCAGCCTGAGGATGAGGGGGGAGTGACTCCTCTAAGAGTCCACTTAGGGGCACTTCCCTAAGGGGGGAGCCACACCCCCTCACGCCATCAGCTCCACAGGAAGACATCTGCAGGGAGGATTTGGAGGGATAGAAGAGGGGATGGGGTGTGCCGCCCCCACCCGGCGTGGCAGTCATCATTCCTGTCTGCCCCCAGAGACCCCTGGCGCAGCCTGTCCTTGCTTCCCTGGGTGGCAGAGGCAGCGGCCTGACCAGGTCCCAGTCTGACTTCCCCATCCGCTCTGATTTTTTTTTGGAGAGATGAGATTTCTTCTAGGTCCTAGGCTTGAGGGCTTGTGCCTCAAAGTCTCCCTCACGTGTCAGTCTCTGTCTCTCCACCCACCCCTCCCCTGGCCTCCCACCTCCGTTGGCATGGCTGTTCTTAATCCCCACCCCCACCCCACTAGGGGGCAGGGAGTGCGGGCAAGGATACGATGCAGCTGGTTCTCCGGGTACTCAGTGCACAGGCGGGTCAGGTGGGCCAGGTGGCACTGCAGACCCCACGGGTTAAAGCTCCTCCTCTCGGCCTGGTTTCCATTAGCATCTTCCACCAGCGAGGACACGTGGGCGTTGAGGTGGAACTCTGACCTCAGGAGTGACGTGGCTGAGCTGTGGGCGAGGGAAGCACACGACAGTCAGGGCACCGGTGCCTGTCCCTGTGACTGGGCTCTCCTGGGCTGGACGCTGAAGTGCACTGTCTCTGGTTACTCTCCAGGAAGCCTGCGGGGCCTCAGAGAGTCCCTCCTGCCGCATTCAGGCCCTGGGCACCAGATCAGGCCACCTTGCCGCCCTGGCAGGGGGTCCCTCTAAACCCCAGAATAATTCATTAGAGCGTGTCACCTCATCAGAGGGCTGTGGTGGTTTCAGTTAACTTGTAAGTGATCTGGATTACTCTCGCACTATTGAGGCAACATAGCACGGGGGCGGCGACCCTGCCTGGAATCAGAAGTCTCGGGGTTTAGGCTGTTTGTGTGCCGTGTTGTTATTTCCTCGAGACCTCAAAATGCCAACAGGGGTGGGAATCAGGGATCCTTGGTCCACCCTCTCTCCTGTCCTGTGCACCTTGGCTTCCCCATCTGTGAAACGGAGATAATGTGTACCCGCTTCCTGATGCTGAGCCAAGAGGCTTAATTACATCCGCTGTGCTCCTTGGGGAAGGGAGGTATTTTCATTGTATTAGCTCCCTTTTGTTTCCCCGTAAATGGTTTATAAGTCCCCAGGGGTGCTTTCCATCTGAGAAAGGTCAGCTAACAGTATCAGAGGTTCTGGAGACCTCTCCAGGACCTCGGGTGCCCTGAGCTGCCTGCGTCTCCTAGGTCCCGCAGGGTGGCTGTGTTGATCTCTCTCCTCGTCCCTTCCTGGCCCTTAAGGAAAGGTGATTTCTGACTGCCATTAGCCACTTTTCCTTCATGTCAACTGTTCTGGGTCTTTGCATTCCACCCCCTCCCCCCACCAGAGACACTTCATGGTCTCAGTGAAACAGGTTTGTAATTAAACAAGTGTGTACTAAATGCCTGCTCTGTGCAGGACTCTGCATGTGCGGCAGCTGCTGAGAGAAAGGCATCGGAGTCCTCCCTCTAAAATGGCATGAACGGAAGTCCTTTCGTTTCTTTGGTCACATTGGTGTTTCTACATGGAGCCTTCATCTGAATTTCTCACTTTCTTGGCCCCATTGGGGAGCTGCTAGGCTTGGCCCAGGTGGGAGCGGTGCTGATCCCCTGTGGGTTTCTGTCATCCTGCCAAGTGGCCCTCACCTCTCGAGTGAGTGTGCCAGCTGAGTGTGCTGCCACTGGGCGAGGGTGTGGGCGCCACCGCTGCCGCTGGTGGTCTGCTGGAGAGTCTGCCATATTGCCACTGCCGCCGACTCCGTGGAGACCTTGAAGGGCCCCCGGTTCTCCTTCAGTGGGTTCGCTACCAGGCTGAGATGGCCTCGGCTGTCTTTTCGGAGATGCACCGTGATGGTGCCTGCAGAGCACACGGGGGGAGGGAGAGGAGGGGAAAACCAGATGGAATTTACCTGGTGGACGCGTGACAAGGGGTGACATCCTTTTGAATTGTAGTTCTAATGGCACTGATCGACCTCTCCACTTCCCTAACTCTCCTCTCAAGGAAGAGCTATGGGGACTGTTCCAGAATGAGCCCAGGGCCATGGAGCCTGCAAAAAAATAGCCTTGGGCTGATCTGGGCACAGCCTCTGCTTTATTGCATCTCTCTGTCCTTTCATGCTCGCAAAGCCGGTCCTGTACATTTTGTTCTCGCCTTCTGGTTCCTCTGTGCACAGTGGCACCTTCCCAGTGACAATACCGCTCTTCCAGAGGGGCCCAACTTTGGGTCATCAGAGCCGGTCCTCTGCAAAGAGGGCCCCCTCTCCCAGGGTGGCTTTGCGGGAAGTTGGGGCCCATCCCGTGCCTCCCCTTTGCCTCCTTCATCATCCTTGCTCTCCCTTCCTTTAATCTATGTCTGACCAGCTCCTGCCAGGAAGCTCGCCTCAGCCTTCTGGGGGCTCTGCTTCTCTGTTGCCTTCATTTATACCTTGTCCCCGCCCCGTCTCTGGCTTTAACACTGATGCTCACCATTTCCTTCAGTTATACACATAGCACATGAATATTATTGACAGAACATGGTTCTTTGATATAAAACAGAGGACTGGTGGGATTTCTCCAGCTATGGTACCTCCTGACCATCGGTGTTTGTAATCAAGGCACGACAGCCTGCTCCAGTCACTGCTTATGAGAGTGAAGAGGGCGAGGAGACCCAGTGAACAAATGTGCTAATTGGGCTTCCCCTCCACGACGTCGGCCAGGTCAGGTAGTTAGCTCTGGCGTGTATGTCAATGCCTCTGTGTGCACCCCCTTTTGGATTTCTTGCTCAGAGGGCACAGCCCAGGTCTTTTCTCCGTGGGTCTCAGTATCAGTGGGTGCTCAGCCTCGCCAGAGTTCTGGTGGAGGTGGAACCCTATTCTCGGTGGTGGCAGGAGACAGCCATGTGAATGGTTTTGTGAGGACTGGATCTCTGGAGTTCTTAGTTCCCTGTTCTTCTGTAGCTGATGCCATGAGTATTCAGTTTGCTCCTCCTCCCACCAAGCTTCTCTCTACCTGTCTCCAACCTGCCTTGTGCCTCAGAGGCTGACCCTGTGGGGTGCACCAGTGGCTTCCTTGCTCCCCCCCCCCGCCCCGTTTCCCATGGGTTTGGCCAGTGGAGGACATTGGCACTGGCAGGAGATGGGGTGGGGCGGGAGAGAGGTCGAGGTACTTATCCCAGCGGCGCCCTCCCTGCTGCAGCGTCATCCTGTCCCTCTGTGGCCTTCCTCTTGCTGGGTCAGTGACACCACTCCCTGACTTCGGCCCTTCAGGTCTAGGGATGGTTACAGCCTTGCAGTGGTGCTGGTCCCTGGGTGCCTCGTCACCCCCAGTTGTTCCCTTAATCCTGCATGTCCTTTACAAGCAGTCCCTCTAAAGATTCTCTTCATTTAAACCCCTTTAAACACACCGCTCATTTTCTGCTGGGACTCTGACTGAGAGAAGGTGGGTTGCATGTGATCATGTCCTCTCAGGTATTCATCTCCTCCCCCGACCACTTGGTCACTTTCTCAGCACAAGTGGTAATTTCTGCTGAACCAGCACTCAAGGCAGCTGATTTCCCTGCTCGCGTCCCTGCCCGGGCTGGTCAGGGCGGACGCTCATTTTCAGGGCTGCTCTATAATTCAGCAAGTCGCTCTTCAGGGCCATCTGCGTCTGGCTCAGCGGTCTCTCTGGGCCAGTCCTGTCATCTCAGATTCCCAGCGCCCTAATTTTGCAGCCTGACAGTGACATGCAGTTTTTTTCCAGTTCCTTTAAAAAAATTCTGCTCTGCCTCAGCATCTCTCAGGCCCCTGAGTCCTGTGAACTAGTGATGATACTACTAGTAATACCGTACCTGAACCTGGCATTTTGTAGTTTACCTGCACACTGGCACGCATCTCTCGGTGGAGCCCGCCTGAGCTGTGCCGCTCGTGAGAACAAGGGCTGATGCAGGTCAGGGCAAGAGCTACCGTAGTGATAATCTCTGCCAGGTGCCAGCATTGCGTGCTTTTGCTTTGTTTCCACTGAGTGACAGTTAGCCTGTAAGGTGCTTGCCTGTGGTCACCGAGACCCAGAGAGCTGGAATAACTTGCCCGAGGTCATACAGTTTGTGCGCAGTGGAGCTCTGAGAAGGCCACACCAGGTGCGGATACGGAAGAAGGAACAAGCTGTACCACGGAGCCAAGGACTTCATCGGGAGACTCCGGTGTCATCATGCTGTGTTTACTTGTGTGTAGACGAGGGACACTCCTGCTGTGTCCCTATCACATTTGTTTTGGCCATTCTGTTCCGTGGGAACAGACAGAGAAGCCATGAGGCCACCAATGTGTGAGAGGGTCATCAGTACAGAGGGTTGGGAGTGCCGAGAAGCCTGAGGACATGGTGTTTACATTTCCATTCCTGTTTTCTCAGGCAGGAGGGTCTCTATGCATGATCTGGGGAGGAGGGCTGACCTAGAAACCAGCACCAGGCCCCAGAGCCACCACTCCACGGTGGAGAAAGGAGAGCACCGGCCTTGGCGCTTGTCCTTGAGGAGCTTGGAGTCTCCTGGCTGCCTGGGGGAGCCCTGGATGGTGTGCCAGCCAAGGGCAGGGCCCTTTGGGGACTTGTAAAGTTCAGCTCACCGTCTGGCCTCTCCCATCTGTGGGACTATGGTGCCAAGCCTGCAAGAAACCGCTGTCTCGGGGAGCCTCAACCCCGGGAGGCTTCCCTGGAAGGACAAGAAATGTGACCTCCATCCGCTTCCGTAGGCTCCAGCTCTTGTCTGGTCTCATCAGATCTGAGGGTCTAAATAAATGGAGGCGAGCAGAGGTGCAGAGAACCCAAAACCAATAAAATCCAAAAGGCATTTCTATTTCTCATGTTGTCAGAGCTACACAGCCAGACTCCAGGTCTGTGCCTTCTTGCTCCGGCTTCCTGCACGCCTCTGGCTCTGTGTCTCCATCTATCTGCCTTCCCTCCGTCTCCCACATCACTCTGCAGCTCAGCCCAGACCTTCCTTCTGAAGCCTGAGACCCATAGCAGATAGCTGCCTGGCCGTCTCAACATGCCAGCTCTTTACTGAAGCAGTGTGTCAATGGAATCCAGACTCCTCGGGGCCTGGATTGGTTTGTAGTCAAGAATCATTTTGGGCCCGGCCTGGCTTTCCAGCTTGCCTTGTGTGTCCGTGGGAACTAGGCCTCAGAGGGCCATGGGCTCCCGGCACTCTGCCGCCTCTGCCTGGCCAGGGGAGCCCTGCCTGCCTGCTCACCAGCCCTCCCCAAGCACCTCAACCTGCAGCCCTGCCAGCTGGGCAGACAAGAGTGCTTTCGGCCCAACCGCCATGCCCGGAGCATCTCGGCAATTTCGGTTTGGCCAAGCAGCTTCCCCAGCCTCCGTGAATATACTGTCATGCATTTATTTTTAAGCTCGTGAGAGCATTTATTTGCCGGTGTCTGTAATATGAATCTGGCTCATCCGTCAACCAGCTGGACCTAGAAGTACGTCCTTGCTCACTCAAAGCTGACAGGTACACTGGGAGGCAGAGGGATGCAGCCCCTAAGATGTCATGGCCAAGGAGCCCAGCAGGAGGTCAAGGCAAGCTCCTGGCATGGGGAGGCTACCTTTGGGAGTGATATCCCTGCCTAACACTCCCTGATGCCACCACAGCACGGGGCAGTGAGAAGGGAGAGGGTGTGCTCCATGGCATTGCAGTGGCCACTAGAGAAACAACCCCTCTCTCTGGGGCCATTCCCATAGGGGAGAAAAAGGGAGACCCCCCTGTGGCAGCCTTGTGGGCCTTCGAGCCTCCCTGATCTAAGGTCACTAGCTGAGCGGATCAGGGCAAGTCACATCCCCTCCTTTGTTGGGCTCGATGAGCCCCTGAGCACTGGCATGTGAGGAGCCCATCTCTTGGGTGACCGTGCTGGTGGAGCGGGCCTGGGTGCCCGAGAGCCCACGCTTGGGAGCCAGACCTCGGAGCTTTGAATCCTGGCTCTGCCTCTCGCTGGCTGTGTGGCCTGAGGCAAGTCATGTCACCTCTCTGTACCTCAGTTTCCTCACCTGTGAAACGGGGATAATAATAGTAGCTCCGTCAGAAGGTTGTCGTGAGGATTGAGTTAACACGTGGAAACTACTGAGTGAACACCAAGCTGACACCACTTTTCTTCTCCGGTGAAACAAGAAGCCCGCGCAGCCCGGGGGCCCTTGTAGGGACTGTTTCCCATCTAAAACCGGACCTCAGCAACCTGTTCCAGGCATCTGAGAGTGTGAGGGTCCTGGTTCGGCGCCTTTCTCTTGTGTCTCCCTAGATGTGTGTTTCCTTAGGTGGTGCCTGGCCCGTGGCACCTCATGGATTGTGTTCTGGCTGTTGAGTGAATCCGTGTTTCTGCATCATTGAAACCTCATGTTTGGGTGTCGCCCCAGTGTGGAAGCTCTGCCTCACCTTCAGCAGGGCTGTGTGGTCTCGCCGGAGGGTGTCATGTGTTTCCCTGACCCAGTCCCCTCCCGACTTGTGTGGAAACAGCATCTCCTAGGGGAAGGCAGAGACTGAAGCATGCTCTATGGCCATTGATACACGTAGCTGTGATGCCTTGGCTGAAATTAATCTATCAAGTCAGCAGGGCCCTAAGGCAGGCAGTACTGGGGATGGGCCCAACTAGAACTGGGAGGCAGGGTGGAATAGGGGTCTGGACAGTAGACCAGTGCCTGAGGGTGCCTGAGGGTGCCTGAGAGTGGTGCCATTGTTCTCCTGCCCAGAGGAATGGGCACGTGTAGACACGTGGGACACAGGCAGAGCATCAGGATGGGGTCCTGCAGACCAACCAGCCTCCTTCACTTTCCTGCCTTGCCTGTGGCCGTCCTGGCAGTCTGTCTCAGCTTCGGAGCTGTGTCCAACAAGCGTGAAATGCTGTGGGCAGGAGGCCACCCCACGCAAGATCCTGCCACCGCTTTGCTAGGTTGAGTTTAGTTGCAAAAGGACAGACATTCATTCCAGTGGGTGCTCTGACAAGATGGGCAGTGACCCACAACTGATGGGCAACACCGGCCTACGGCCCCAGAGGCCTCAGGGGAGGCCCACACAGGCTGCACACCACCCGTCCGCCCCTGTCTCTTAGCGTATGATGCTCGTGGGTCTTGTCTCAGACTCTCAGAAGGTCTTGGCAGGCTGGGGCTGAAGCAATGCCTAGGGCTCATTGACCCCCTATCAGTCAGTCTCAGTCTGGAACACGCTAAATACACATTCCTGGACCCTGACCCCAGGGGTTCTGGTTCACAGGTCTGGAATGGAGCCTGGGAATCTGCATTGTAACCCACACACCAGCAATTCTGGTAAAGTTGGTCAATCCCAGGTCACACTCTGAGAAACACCCATATAGATAAGCTCCATCCTTCCCAAGTATCTTCATCATTGAAATGCAAGTGAATTTTTGACTGACTTATTTGGAGATTATCATCACTTTTACTACAGATGCTTAGATAATGAGGGCAGAAGCTTGTAGTCACAACATCTAAACACCTTTAAAAGAGATTTTTGGGCACTCATCCCATTGAGGGGCTGGAGGCTGGCAGAGCCCTGTGAACTGCATTTACTGAAGGCTGGGTGTGCACAAAAAGCCTGCCCCATGGATGCTGGCCGGCTGCCAAGGGTGCCCCTGCCTGGAGTCCCACAGACGGCAGCCCTCCCCACCGCGCCTTCACTCCCCAGAACCCACCTTGTGCTCGGATCTAGAACATACACTGCTCTGTACCCAGTTTCCCCAGCTAAACCTCAAAGGCAACCCATGGCCCTGGCTTTGCCACAAGTTGAGGGCAGGAATTCTGGTTTTCTAAACCTGTCAGGTCCCAGCTCCTTCATGCCCTGACCCAGGCCTGAGGCTCCTCTCACCCGCCTGGGCCTCCAGAGGTGAAGGAGGCCTCAGCCCGTCCTGTCTTTCCCAGCCCTGGTCACGAGACCCAGCCATGGCACTCCCGAAGCACAGACCGGATACCCTAGCAGAGCAGGGTGGGGCTGGGGTATCATTTTATTCCGTTCTCAATTCCTCGAAGTCTGGTGGCTTGCGCTAATTTGTAGGGTTGCCAAACGGCATTAGACTCCAGGCCCAGAGGCTCGAAGGGTTCAGAGAAACTAGGACAGTGAAGGCCAACCGGGCTGTGGGAGGGGGGCGTGTCTCCGTGGCAACTCTTACACACACCACCCGGCACGAGGAAACGGCGGGTGCACGCGGCTAGGCCTCCCCCAGTGTGGCAGGCACAGAGTCGTATCTGGACACTCACCTTTGTACTGAGGAGTGAACCGCTTCATGGCCAGAGGCAGGGATTCGTAGAACCTCTGCTCCCGGGAGACGAGGGGCTTGCACACAGTGTGCTCATCATACTTCATCACGCTCAGGTGCCCCCCGACCTGGTGCAGGAAGGGCTCTAGCTGCACGCCCACTCTGGCATCCCCGGCATCCGTGCTGTCCTGCACAACCATGTATCCACAGGAGGAAGGCCTGGGGTAGGGGTAGCGGCTCCTGGACAGGAGGCGGGCTGTCAGCGTTCCCCAGCTTTCTCCTTCTTGGCCTTCGCCACTGTCAGGGCACAGCTGTCTCTCTGTGAGCCTGGCAGGGGACCCCTGAGAGCAGAGGAGGAAGGTAGAAATGACGTGAGGGAGACGGTGTGCTGGGGGAAGCAGAAGGACCCACGGTTCCCAGCCACGACCCACTGGTAGTTGAACAAGACTGTAAAGAGACATCAATCACTTCCAGAATAATCTGTTGCAAGAAACTGGTAACAGTGATTGCCTCCAGGGAGCCAGGATGAGAGGTAGACTTCTGTAAATACTGTTCTGGGCCTTTTGAATTTAAATACTGAAACAATTAAAAAAAAATCAAATAATACACACAACTGTAGGCTTCCAGAATGCAGAGATTGTCTTGATTCCTGTCATGGTTCCTGCCTGCCTTTGGGAACGTCCGTTCCAGGCCCAAGAATAGAGCAGAGTCCCCGCTGTTGGGGCACTCGGCCTCTTGCATGGATGGGCTTAGGGGGTACAGGAAAGCTTCAGTTTTGTACGGCACAGCTGTGCACATCCGTCTGCATCATGGCTCCACAACATAATTGCTGTGTGACCTTGAGAAGTTACCAAACCTCTCTGGGCCCCACTTTCCCCATCTATAGAAAGAAATAGTAAGGATACCTACCTCATGGACTTAGGACAAAATTGAGATAAAGCCCATGAAAAGGTTAGCTGAAGGCCCAGAGTTAACTACTCAATAAGTGTGATTTATCATTATTATTTCTAGCATTATTGCTGTGGCGGTTGTATTTTCCCAACAGCTCTGGGTTGTAAGAAAGGGAGCCTTTCTCACTGCCGCTTTGCACGTGAGGGAAGCGAGGCGTGAAATGCCCTACCTGGGCTCTGGTGCGGACCAGGAGCGAGGCAGGAGTAAAGTGGGGGCCGCCTGTCTCTGGGCCTCGTCCTCTGTTACCTGCTGTTCCCTTTCCCTCCTGAAGGGTGGGCTTGCTGGAACTCTGGGCTGGAAATGCAGCCCCCAAAGACTTCGTGACTTTGTCTCAGGAGAGTGCCAAGGAGACACTGTGAGGGGAGGCTCTTCTGGCCACATACGTCCTGTCCTGTGTGAGAGGACATTCTCACAGGGGTGCCCATCACTGCCGAGTTATTAATTCTCTTCTCCGCTGGACTCCTGGCCACGGATGCCACCGAGCTAGGCAGGACTGGACATGATTAACATTCTAAATGACCTTCAGTCCAGACCATGGGCACGGCCAGCTGGCTGCATGCACAGAGTACCTATCAATTTGTTCAGGACCCCAGCCCAGAGACACCCCCGCCACCCACCTAGACCTCTGGCACCAGGTGGCAGTGAAAGCCTCAGCCCAGCCCAGCCCATTTATACGCCCCACAGCCCTACAAGGGCCTCTTTCACGTTGGCTACTGTCTTTCAGGCCACAGAGTGCCCCTTTAGGAAGGGTGAGGCGTTTTGTCTGGTATGTGTCTTTGCTGGATGCAGGGTGAAGCTTCTGAGAGCTGCCTGCGTGGCTGGAGCGTGACTGGGGAGGTTAGGGCTGCGGGGCCAGGCGACAGGTGTGTGTGTTGTGGGGGTGGGGGCTGAGGCCCGATGGCAAGGGGCCGAGCTGACACAACAGCCTAGGCCTTAATCCCGTCTGCTCTAAGACGGCACAGACAGAGCCCCATTTGGAGCCTGGTCCACAAGCTGGGAAGGTGGTAGGAGGCATCTAGATGCAGAGGCAGATCACAAATTGGCTCGGGGATCAGTTGGTATATGACAAGATAGCACAATTGTTTGGCAAACCCAATTCTGCTTGCAAATTTGGTGAAGGCAAGAAGGAAGAAAGAAGAGAAAAACCAAAGTGGCCCAGGACCACCAACCAGGCCTGGGCTTGCTGAGCAAGCACTGACAGGTCCAGCTGGTATCCCAGGCAGCCGCGCTGGGCGGCCCACGGCCCTTCTTCCCCACGCTCCTGTCTCCCTAAGGAGCTCTAAGGACATCAGTGTCACCCTGCCGTGGTGGTGTGGGGAGGAAATAACAATAAATGGTGATAAACCCAGAGTGCTTTCTGTGTGCCAGGTCTCTGTTATATAGATCAAACCAGTTAAGCTTCACAACTACCCTATGAGGTAGTGTTAGCAGTCTGTTTCACGGATGGGGAAAATGGGGCACAGAGAGGTTAAGTAACTTGCCTATGTGCACGACGCCGTTAAGGACGGGGCAGGGATTTGAACCCAGACACCTTAGCCCCACAGCGCATTTACCCGCCATGCTGTGGGGATGCTGAGGGCTGCTGTGGATCCACTTTGACAGTCAGGAAACTGAGCCCCAAGGAGGCTGGGACTTGGCCAAAGTCGCCCGCAAGTCACTGGCTGTGCTAGGACGGAACCCAGGTTTTCTTGTCCCCCAGGCCTGGTCTCTCCTTTCCTGACCATGCCTAGCCTTCCTCCTCCAACCTGGTGAAGTAAGTGCTTGTCCTAGTGGTGGGTGGGCTCCGTACCTCTGCAAAAACCATCATGAGGGGTCCAGGGAGGTCTACCTATAAAGCTGGGGCTTGAGGTACTTTCTGGCTAAGGATGTCAACAAGACCCGAGAAGCACTGGCATTCCCAGATGTTCTCAGGAGCCCTGGCTGAACTTTCTCAGAGAGCACAGAGCGAGCCAGGAAGACCCTGGGTCTCCGAGGCAACCCATGGCACAGCAGTGCAAACTTAGGGTGGGTTGTAGTGATGGGGAGTCTGATGGGTAGTCAGCCTGTACTTTAAAAAAAAAATCTAGACTTGGGGCACCCGGCTGGCTCAGTTGGTAGAGCATGTGACTCTTGATCTTGGGGTCATGAGTTTGAGCCCCATGTAAGGCATCGAGATTACTTAAAGAAAAAAAAGTTAAAAAAAATCTAGACTCAACAGATAGGGCAATGGAGATCCTTCCTCTCGAGGGTCTCCTCAGGGTATAGAGGAGGTGATAGCATAGTACAGTATGATCTGGGGTTCTGACACAGGTTGGTGCGAAGGGGCAGAGGGAGGCTGGAGGGCAGTGGCATCCACACCAGAGCACCTGCCTGAGCTGGGCAGGCGGGCTTTGTGCTGCTCGGGGAGGCACGCTGTGGCTTCCCCTTGACACTGATGCCGACCTTCCATTCCCAAGGAAACTCAGGATGTCACTGTCTTTGCGTGCAGCCTCCTGCTCTGTGGGAATGAGCGAGGGAAGACCTCCGTTCTTCCCCATCCTCCCTCAAAAGTCCCGAATAAGTAATTCAAGCTGACAGATCTTTCTCAACCCAGACCTTCCTTTTGCCACATGCAGGCACGTCTGTCATTGGCGTGGGCCTTGGCCTTCGATCAGTGCCTCTGGGCCCTGTTCTGTCTCCTCAGAGCACTGGGCAAGGAGTCCAGAGCCCACATCTGTACCAGGCATCCCACTAGCTTGCTGAGGCCCCTAGGACCAACCAGTAACGTTCGTCTGAGTCTTGGTTTCCCGCCCACTGCCATAGCCTTGTCACGATGCTCAGATGACAAAATGCACAGCATTCCTTTGTGGAGTCCTCTCCCCAAGCGTCTCCCCCACTTGAGGCTTGTCACTGCGTGGGTTGTTCTCGGGACTGACTCAGCTTGGGTGCTGGGAAGGCAGGTGAGGCGCCGCCTGAGACAGGACCTTACACCCCTCTGACACACTTGCCGAGAACGCTGGGCTCTCTCGAGTGCGTCAAAGGGAGACAGGTGTCACTCTCTCCAGCCCACGCCTGCCCCCAGAGGCCCACAGCTGCCCCCCTCACCCAGCATCCTGCCCTTGTGTTCCTTGGGGAGGGAGGAGGAGAGACCGAGGGAGGGAAGAGGGTCAGATGCCCCCAGCCAGAAGAGCTCAGCTTAAAGCCCCCTCCCCTGGAGTGGTGGACAAATGACCCCAGGTCCCTGTGTCCTCCTCCCCTGTCGCTGGGTTATGTCCTGAATGAAATAACTCTGGGCTCACTCCAGGAGACTCAAGGGCTAAATTCTCTGATGGGCCCCCCATCCAGCTGGTTGTTAAATGCCTGTGTCAGTGTAGCCCCAGGGGTCCTGAGTCAGCCTGCTGTAGGGTTGCAGGACACTCCCTGGGCTGAGGGGGGTGGGGGTCATGGACAGCAGGGCCTGCAGTTGTATTTGGCTTCCAGAATGGAGACAGATGACAATACACGTGATGCCAGGGACAGTGACAGAGGCCACCATCAAGCTGAGGTGGATGAGTGCCTCATGGCTCATCACTACCAGTTGGCACGTTTTATTTCCTGAGAGTCTGTGTGTGTGTAATCTCTCCCTACATACGAAACCCAAGTTCGTTAAAAATTACAGAAGATAGGCCTCTTTTCAAGCTTGCCACTGCCATTTTAGAGGAAGAGGGCAGGCGAAACCACAAATCAAACTTGTACCAGTGCAAACTTGGACTAAATTAGTCCTGAACTATATCTCATGAAAGCCTGTCAGTTCCTTATACCTGGAAACAAGTTGGCTGACTGCGGTCATTGTCAGCGCTGTTCACAAAGAGTCCAGTCTTTCCTGTGGGAATGTGGGATGATTGCACTTCCCTTGCCCTTTGGAGGTAAGTACAGCCACGTGATTTGCCTCCACCAACACAACGGGAACGGGAGTGACATACAGCACTTCTGGTGGGAGCGGTAAGCAGTTCCACGCTGGCCCTGGTCATCTCGAAAGCACGGTCACTCTCTGAGTGACTCTGCATGTTGGATACGCAGCCTAATAGAGAAGTACATCTGTGCTCTAGTAGGCCCCTGAGATTTGGGGGTAGTTTGTTATACAGCACAGCCTGGTGCATCCTGACTAATGGACCCACTCACGGCCCAATCCCCAGCATGGAGCCTGGAAATGGAAAGCAACCTCACTTGAATTGGGCCCTCAGATACTTCACTGCACAAATTATATCCTATATGATGGTAGCTACTCCTGTGAATCACTGGCTTTATCATCCCCATCTCTGTTTCTGAAGAGAGTCATTTTCAGGTGGAGAAACTGAGGGTCTGAGACGTTAAAGAGCTTCCTCACAGCCCAGAGCTAGTGAGTACTCTAGGTGGGATTCAGCCATAGGGGGCCTGTCAGTTCTAAAGGCCTGAGGGTCAGGGTCCTGTCCGAGGCCCTCTCCACGCTATGTGCCTTAGTGGCCAGAAATGGGGGCCTTCCAGGAGCTTGCACCCGGCTGGGCAGTGTGCTGCTGGTGGACGGGGTCCGACGGGGTGCTCAGCGGTGTGGATTCGCAGTGCCGAGGGTGAAGGCCCCCTCCTGTGGGCCTCCTGTGGGGCCAGTCTAGACCTTCCCCAAGCCACACCACCATCCAGCATCGTCTTCCGGCCGGAACAGTAATACCCTTGGAGCACGATAACTTCTCAAATGTATATAAACACTTTGGTGATTACCAAAAGACAAATTCATTTAAAGGCATTACTGAGTTCCTAGTAGTTTTTATCAGCATCCATTTTCTCAATCAACGGATACTAAAAGTATAATGAGTATCGCAGGGGGACTCGTAGGGAACAGATTATGTTGAGATGGAGCCCTGGTTGAAAAGGTTGGGAGGGATACTGCTGTCGGCTGAGGAGGGGTGGTGTCACAGGGCCAGGATGGGGTCCGAGACGGGGAGAGATGCCGGCTGGGCCGGCGGGGGGAGGTTGAGGAGGGGCTCTGAGTGGTGGTAAGTCTCAGGGAGGGGATGTGCAGGGAGCAATAGGGAAGAGCCAGGACCAGCCAGGAGACCAGAGGAAAGGCTCTGAGTGGCGGTAAGCCCGGCCTGCTCAATGCCCTCCGAACTGCTCTAGTCACTGGACTAGAGAGGGCACAGAGAGGGCCTGGCCACACGCACCGGAGGTGCCCATCTGGCTCCTGCTCAGGCCAGGGAGGAGGGGGCTGCTTGAGACCGTGAGGTGTGGAAGCCTTCCAGACCGCATCCCCATAAGTTTGATGGGGGAGCATTCAGGGTAGGAGATAATTACAAAACAGCTTGTGTCAAAAGCAGACCGCAGTATGAGATGTGTCAGGCTGCGGACTCAAAACCAGCATGGTTTATGGGTGCCCTCTCGCCTCTGAAGCTCTGCCGTACATTTCACGGGTCTCTCGGAGCCAGAGGTTTGGTACAAGTACCATTCAATGTCTTTGCGATGCCCAAGGGAGCATTTTTTTAATCTATTAGAGATGAGAGGACCCGAAAACCGTTTAAAACTGCTTAGGTCGTAATGGGCAGGAGGATTTTGGAGTTTCTCATGTGGCAGAGGGTTGTGTATCATCCGGGGCCATCCAAGCCGGGAAAGCACAAGATTATTTTCTGGGGAAAAAAAAGTCGTGTTTTAAAATCCATTCTAAAAATGACTCAAGGGCTGTAGGATGGTGTGTGCCCCCCGTCTGCGTGGTCCCCCACACGATGGGATAAATACCGAACACTGGGGGACTTCACACATCACCTTCCCAGCCGTGGCTGAAGTATGTGGCTTTGCAGAGCCTCTGTTCCCCAGGGAAGGCTTGACACCCAGAACCACAGAGCAATGCTTCATATTCCCCAGTCACACAGACTTATTTCGGGGCTGATTTCATCCTTTGAGAGAAGATTTTTTTTTTCTCTCTTTCCTTTTCTCTTAACATTTAAAATCTCCCAATGTTCCTCCAGTTTGAGGACCAAATGCGATTTTAATACAGCGATTATTAGTTTAGAAGCCCTTCAGCCATTGACAAATGTCCTTAGCAGCAGCAGCAATGTTCCGAGCTTGCTGTCAGGGCAGGAGACGCATGGGCCAAAGATGACTCAAGAATCCAAGTGCCCCTGGAAGGCCTGCTCTGGGAGAGGCAGAGGCTGGGAGGCTTCTCCCTCCCCAACTCCTGACACATCTTGACCTCGTGACAGCACCACGGGGCCTCGGCCACCTTGCGCCTGGCTAGTAATGGCTGCACAGCATCTTCCAACTCCCTGCACCCCCTCAGGACCTCACCCCCTTGAAGCTGCGTCCAGGATCTTGGATACTGCTCACCACCCAGACCTGCACGTTTCCCAACCTCTGGCCCCCTTTGCCGCCTCTCCCCACCTTTCTCTTAAGTACTACGATCAGCAGCCACCTGCCTTACATAAGAGGCCTTTGAGCCAGAGATAGAAGGTTTTGTCAGTGGTTAGCATGGCAACTTTGTGGCTGCAAGAAGAAACGGCCTTTTAAGGTCAAAATGCGATAATGGGTGGAGCAAGCGTGTGAGCGTGCGGCCGAATGTGTGAGTGCGCGTGTGTGAGTGTGTGGTCCCCACAGAGTGGGACTGGCCAACTCTGGTGACCGAGCCTGTTCGGGGAGAACGCAAGCCGGCGTCTCCCCAGCAGAGGGCAGCAGCAGGCATGCCAGAATCACCCAGAGAGGGAGTCACTGCGGCCCACACTCCACAGCCAGCCAGCCCCGGCCCCCGAGGGGGGACACATCCCGGACCTGGGTTTGCTAGGCCTGACCTCACAGAGCCCAGGATGGTGGCTGAAGGGCCTGCCTTACCCAGGGCCGGTTTCTCAAGAACTCAGAAGTTGGCACCAAGGTCAATGCCCCTCCACATTCCCTCCTCCTCTCACTGCACCCCACTTTTTCTAAGGGGTATCTGGCCGGAGGAGTGGGGGGAGCTTCCCGCCCTTGGTGAGGCATGTTCTGAGAAGTGGCGTGCCCGGCTCCATTCACAGGGTGAGGCCAGGCACAGGGCTTGCCAAAGAGGGACAGGGCACAGGAGCTGGAGGGCACCTTTGAGTTGAGGGGAACTTGGTCCTCGGCCTCTCCGCTCAACCAGTCCCTCCCTGGGGCGGCTGGACCCCACTCCCCCTGCAGCTACAGGTGCGCTGGTCCTGCTCGATGAGGAAGAGTAACCAGCACTCAGTGAGCCCCCGCGTCCCCCATTCCTGGAGCTCCTCCCGGCCTCTCATCTCACTCCCCTGAACAACCCAACGCTCATAAAGTTGATTGCTGTTCCCTGTGGCTGCTGGTGAACAAGATAGCAACCATACGGCAAGGATTTATTCAGGTGCCCAGCTCCCAGCAGGAGAAAGCAGGGGTGGTGGGGTGGGGAGCCACGGGATGGCTCAGCCTGGCCTGCCGCCCCCCAGGATGCCGTGGGACAGAGCACTGGGAGGCTCCCAGGGGCCACAGGCCCTTTGCAGAGGAGGAATTTTTCAGATCTCTGATAAGGAGATCTGAGGGAGTTCTGGGGGAGCACAGCACAGGAGGGGACCAGGAGACCTCGTTCTGCCTCAGATTCCCTGTCCCTTTCTCTCTGGGCCTCAGTTTCCCTTTCTGCACTGAGAGCTCTCTGACCCAGCCATATTCTCACCCTCCTGTGGGACAACTGGCCCTTCAAGTCAGCAAGGTGGGTTGGGGGTGGGGGTGGGGTGGGGAGTGGCGGGAGGTGGTTGGCAGGGCCGCTTTCAGATTAAAAAGGACTTAGAAGACATAGTGACCCCGTATACCTTGATTAGATCCTGGTGTAAACAAAGCAATATGAAACATCTAGGGGGGCATTGGAGAAATTTGAATATGAACTAGATGTGGCCGTTCTTTGGGAGTTGTTAATTTTGTTAATGGGATAATGGCATCGGGGTTGTGTAAGAACTTACTGAAGTACTTTGAGGGGATTGTGGTGATGTCCATAAACAACTTCAAATACCTTGGCCTTAGAGTAGTCGACGAAGCAATTACAGCCAAGGTCAAACAACCGTGTAAATCCTGGTGTAGGATATGCAAGCATTCATGATATCATGTCCTCAACTTTTTCCTGTAGGCTTAAAGTTTTTCATAGTAAAAAAGGTTTAGACATAAATTGGTAGCTTTTAAAAACTGGAGAAGCCTGGGTCCTGCCCCATGGGATCAGAATCTTTGGAGAAGGAACCTAGCGTGGATGTTTTTAGGTCCCCAGAGATCCTGAGGACTGTGACAGGCCCAGACAGGTTCAGGTCTCAGGTTTACTGGAGGGCCACGAGGACCCAGGGCAGGGGGGCCCCTGGTGGTGCCGGTGGTCTACCGACACTCGACGGGGGCACCCCGTACCCAGGCCACGGGCTACTGCCCACAGGCCCTGACATCATCCCAGCCTCGCACACCGCCCCCACCCTGCGGAAGGGTGGGGCTGCTGGGACAGGACACACCGTTCTGGGAGCCCAGGGGGCATTGCCAACTTCTCCTGGGACAGCTGCCGCTGTCAAGGGTTAAACGGTGGGAATCATTGGCTCCAACCCCTGTACCTGCCACACAGCTTCCTCTACAGTCCCAGCGCACCAGAACCCTCCCAGCCTTCATGCAGGAGCCAAGGTTAGAGACTTCTGGACACCCTAGGAAGGGTTGGAATTACTCTAGGGGAAGGGCACAGAGATGGGAGAAGAGGAAACGACAGAATTTCCACGTCCCTGAGCCGACCCAGCACCCCCTCCATATACACAGGTACGCACAGATGTACAGACACACACAGACAGACTGGCACCTCCACTGGGTGGAGCCTTGGCGGGATGTAGGGGGCTGCCCTGTCCTGCACGGGCCCTCAGGCGCCGTCAACCAGGCCCTCCCTGCCCTATCCCCTGAGGCAGCACTCACCAGGGCCTCCTTCCTGGAAGGGCAGCAGGGAGTGTCTGGAAGGGAAGATCCAGTGGAAAATAGTCTCTTTTTTCAGTGCCTGTCTGACTGCAGGCCCTGGGCAAAGAAAAGGCCCTTCCCAGTGTCCAGCACAGAGAACTCACTGTCCACTCTAGCGCTGGTGGAGAGGTCTGCCTAGACTCAGGTCTGCCCAGTGGCCCTGGGGAAGGGAGGTCACCTGACCCTCGGGAAGGGCTGGCGGGGGCTGGCATGCCCAGCTGTCAGCTGGTGTATGGCTGCTCTGAGCAGGGCCTGAGGGCCTAGGAGGGAGGGGGGATGAAGAGGAGGAAGAAGAGGAGAGGTCTGAGAGAGAAGTGTCTTGCTCCGCTGCCTGGATGGCAGGCCCTGTGCATCAAGGGCCAATTGCGTAAGGACCCTGGCTGTTTTTTTACTCCTGGAGGTAAGGCTAGGCTAGGGGATCGTGTTCTCCCTTCCCTTCTTCTCCGTTCCCCCAGCCTGTTCCCCGCTGCCAGTTTGTCCCATGCTGTGGCCTCCAGTGAGAGGGAAAGTCATGTAGGAAGACAGTCAGCTCATCAACACTCAATCAACTTGAAGACAGTCGAGTAGTTTTGGAGGCCCTTCTGTTCCGGATGCTCCGCTAGGCTGACCCAGGAACCTGCCAGACCATGACTCTTGACAGGGGATTACAGTGGGGGTGGAGGAAGGGGTGTTCAGCAGGTTGAAGGGCAATCCCAATGCATTTGGTGGGAGAACATGGAGCTTAGGGGGGCCCCTCACCCAGCCTTGGGGGGAGCAAGGAAGGCATCCTGGAGGAAGTAGCCATCAGAGACCCGAAGGACAAATGGGGTCATCCAGGTTGGGGTGGGGAGAGGGTGGTGGGAAGAGCGCTCTAGCTAAGGGAGAGCATGTGCAAAGGCCCAGAGGCATCAGGGAAGAGGGTAGTCAGGGAGGTGGAGGCACTCAGAGCACTGGAGCATGAGAGAGGTGGGGAGTGATGACAGGTGAGTCTGCGGTGAGGGAGATGGGTCTCACAGGCCTCTAATCTGAGCTTCTCAGGAGAAACAGAAGGGCTTTGTATCAGAAAGGGCCAGGCTCAGGTTTGTGTTTTGAGCACATCCATTCTTATTTGAGGAGGAGTGGATCAAAGATGGGCAGACAGGTTATGAGGCTGCCAGATACTGCCTTCCGGGTGAGTCCAGCGTGGTGGGGAGAAGAGGCAGCGGAGTGGAAGGGAATGGTAAGTTCGTGAGCTGTTGAGGCAGGTTTGACAAGGTCCGGTGACATGTGGATGGGGAGAGATGGGGTGTGGGTAAAGGACAGGGGCTCGTTAAGCGTCAGGCCTCATGTCTGAGTGACTCTGGACCAAGTATTAGAAAGATTTGAAGTCTGCCCTTCAGGCGACTCATACCCCGGACTTCTGGCTGCCGTTGTCTGGGGCACTGGGTGCCCCACTGGCCCAGGACCTTAGGCTGGCCCTGCCCGGGCTTCTCCAAGTGTGGGCACTCAGCCCCTGAGGCTCAGCCACAGCCATGGGCTCGGCCTCCTCCAGCCGGGGGCTCTGCCCAGACCCCTCAGGCCCAGCTTGCCCCTTGGTCCGGTCCAGCCTCTCTCTGACTCCAGGCAACATCCCCCAGGTCCTTGCTTCCCTCCGGGCACCCTCACCTATCTCCTGGTCCTAACAGGGTTCTCCCAGATTTGTTGCTGCAGCGCTGAGCCACGATGACTTTTCAATCTCCTCAATCACTGCTCACGCATGGAGCGGGTGAGCCACAGGCTTTGATAAGGTGCCAAAATGGGAGAGGAGGCGGGACTAGAATGCTGGTCTCCTGGCCCCTGTCCCAGAGGACCCTCTGTCACAATTCCTGCGGTGTGCCGTGCGCCCATCCTGGGGCCTGGCATGCAGGAGCTGCTGGACAGATGGGTTAGCAGCACAGGACAGAGTGTCAGGGGAAGGCCATAGCAAGCTTGGGGGCTGCCCTCTGCTGCCCTTCCTGCGGCCAACCTCCTTTCCTATCCCCGTCCTGAGTCCTCCCCCATACCCAGACAGGGCAGCGCCCTGGAGGCATGACAGGGATTCCTGGGCACGCTGAGGCTGGGTTTAATGGGGTGTGGATCCCATGCCCCTCCTTGCTCCCCAGGGCAGCAGATCACATTTCACCAGGGAAGGCAGATGGTCAGGCTGCCCTGCGAGCCTCCTGTGCGCTCAGTCCCTCACGCTGCCCGGTTATGTGCTGGGCTCCGGTTACCTGGCCCTGGGAAAGAGGGTATGACCTCCTTTCCCCCCAGCTCTCCCGCACCTCCCCATTCCCATCTACTGGACTCAAATCCCTGTTCTGGGAACCCTAGAATCAACACAAGGCTGAGCCCGTAGGCCCTTGCGGGTAGAGGAGAAGGGACCTCCCACCTGAGCCATTGGGCCAGTGAGTAGCCAAACCCGGGGCCTTGGGTCTGACTGCATCCCAGTACTTGCTGTCTTGTTTTGTTCTGTTGTTGTTGTTGTTGTTGTTGTTGTTGTGAAGAGCAAAGTTCCATGCCAACTTCCTTTCCATGCGTTTCTTTCACATCATTCTTGAGCCCCTACTATGTGATCTGAGACACATGGCAGTAAACAAAATGCACAGGGCCCTGTGGTCACAGAGCCGGTGATCTGGGGCTTTCTGTTATGCAATCCAATGAGCCACTCTATTTCCGTTTATGACTACGGCCAGATTCTCTTCATGCTCATTTTTCTGAAGCTCAGCTTCGCCCGCAAGATGCTTGCAGCTAAGCCTCCTTCTACAGCCATGTCTGGGACCACCTCTGCCCCCACGACAACTTCCCCGCCCACCCTCTGGGCCTGATCCTGCCTCTCCTTTAGGAAATCAGCCCTGACCCACGGGGCCCCTCTGTGGACACAGCACTCCAGGTCAGCTCTTGGTTGCCACCATTTGGAGGCAGAAAATGCCCGGGGCTCATAAGCACACAGCCACCCTGCTGGCTCTAGGCCACAGGGTGCTCTCCCTTCACCCCCCATACCCGACTGACCTTTTGGGACCTCCTCCTTCACTGCTGCATTCCCTGGCAGTTTATCCATCATCACATCCTGTAAAATTTCAAGTCCCAAACGGGACTCCTTTTCTGTGTCTCCACAGCCACCACCCTGGCCCGCTGCCCTGCCATCTCCCACGGTGACTTTGGTGGTTCCTCACGGTACCCTCCTTTCTCATTGCACCCCTGCTCCTACAATCTATTCTCCCCAGAGTGATGCTTTGAGACAGTCCAGGTCCTGTCACTTCAGTGACTCCCTGTCCTTAGAATAAGGTCCAAAGCCCTGCCCCTACCCCTGGGGGACACAGCCCTGTCCACCTCCCCAGCCCCATCTCGCGGGGTGCACCCTCGCCTTCTGTGGCCTAGCCACACCTTGTGCGGGGCCTTTGTACCCGCTGTCCCCTCTGCCTAGGATGCCCTTTCTTCACCTCCCTGCCTGGCTAACTCCTCTTCCCCCTTCAAACGCCAGCTCAAGTGTCACCTCCTCCAAGCAGCCCTCCCTGACCCCTCTGACATGGTCTGCTACCCAAGACCTTCCTTTCGAAGCACTCGTCCCAGATACGGTTGCACTCTTACTTATGTGATTATTTGCTCCCCGCATGTTTCCCTTCCACGAGGGCAGTGACGGGGATCGTGTTGCTTCACACTGTGTCCCCAGCATATAGCACAGTGCCAGCTTCCTAGTACCCGTTTGGTGAACGAATGAAGGAATGAATGAATGAACTCGTTCTGGGTCTACGACTTCCCTCTCAAGCCTCCCGATGCCCTGGCTTGCACAACTGTGGGTGTGTGGGCTCATGAGCCACCACAGCTGGTATCAGGGGTGCCTTTCCTCTTCCTGGCCTTGGGCATGGAGGCCCTGCCTGCTCTCCCTGGCCCAGTCCCCCTCCCCCTCCCCCTCTACTGCCCCCATGACCCAGGTTTCCCGCTCTAGAGCCAACGTGTTCCAGGACATATCGTCACCCCCTTCTCATGGCATCAACATCGTGGCTGCTGCGATTGTTGCTGACCCGCCCGGGTTCCAGCAAGAGCCCCTACTCCCCTGCGCCGGGCCCATCTTGCCACACCCCAGGTTGGCATACCGCCCTCTCCTTCCTTCTCCTCTTCTGCTCCCTGGCCCCTCCCCCACTTCCGCTCTGTGAGGAGACCCATTTTCCAGGACCGGATGTTGAGGCTCAGAGAGGGAAGGCGTCTCAGTTTGGTGACTCTCTCAACAAACTCTTCTTCCTCCTCCTTTTCCTGCCTGTTGGTTATTTCCTACGCTGTCCTGGCTTTTTCTGTCTCTGGCTTTTCTTTTTTCTCTCACATTCTCTCATCACCTTTTCTGTTTCTACTGGTACTTCTTGTTCTCACTGTGCTGTGTTCAGGCCATGTGTGGGTGTGTGAGCGCCTTGATATGGCAGAGCGCATTGGGCTGAACAAGTATGTCCTCATTAGTGGGCCTTTGGCAATGGGTGCTCTGGGGCGGACAGGGGCACGGGATTCTGCCCAGAGACTTGGGCACTGAGGGACCTGTCACAGGTGCCTCGAAGGGAATCCCGGAACAAGGTCTCAGGGATGGGGCGCCTTGGCTTCCTTCACGATGGACACAGTGCTCTCCCCTGCCCCCCAGTCGTCCAGAGCCTCCCCGGATGGCAGCGACCTGGGCCCTCTGGGGGTCAGCTGCCTCCTGCGTCAGCTGCCGCCCCGTTCCCTGGAAAGCCCAGGATGGAGCACACACAGTAAGGCCCCTGTCCAGCCCCTTGCAGTTGGAGGAGGGCTCACGGCTGGTGGCTGGCCGCTCGCAGAGGATCGAGTGCGACCCGGCCCGACCCGGCGCTCAGCTCCTGGCCCCACCTGGCAACTTCTAGCCTGGGCATTGGGATCCCGTCCCAGAGCCTGCCTGGGCTCGTGTTGGGCTCCCAAATGGCTGATGAGCTAAGACTCCTCAGAGAGGAGGGACCAGGCCATGGCAGCACTTCCCCCTTACTGACCTCCACCTGCCTCCTGGAAGCCTGGAATCTGAGGAGATGGACACGGTGGGGCAGGCATGACACCCTCTGTAAGTCAGATGGACTCCTGGACTAGGAAGCTGCGGGGTGTCATCAACCAGGACTGGGAGTGGCATCAGGAACACCCAAGATGCCAGCCAGGTGCTGGGGGGGGGGGGGTCAGGCGCTGGCTCAG